TTGAGCCTGAACGAACTAGAAGCTCGGACTACACAAAGAGGGGTGGTTCGGCGGCTTTCACACGCGTTTGGACCGCTTCCTTGACTTTAGAGAACACTCCCTTGGAGCCCGTCGTGGGCTTTGATATTCCAAGACTCCTAGTCGCGCGAGTTGTATACTAGTGACTTTAATGACAAGTTTGGTGTGTCCCTGACCTTCCCCGGCAGAAGCAAAAGGGGCAGCCTCTGTCGCGCCACTCCGTTGCTCAATACTTCCTCCAGGTCAAATGCTGGCTTTTGGATGAGTATCCTGTTCAAGGTGGCGCTGTAGCACGACAGCTGCTCAGCATGGGGCGTACCCTTGAACAGCACTCCATCAATCGTGAAAGTGGTGGGTTCGTCAAGAAAGCTATTGCGTGCACAAAAGAGGATCTCGAGAAGATGATACGCTACTTATATTCAACGGCTCGCTGTGCGTCGGACTACCAAGATGCTGCGTTGTTGTGCCTCCTGTGGTACCTCTTCGGCCGTGCATCAGACATTACGTTCGTCCGGAAGCAGCAGCTCTCCGTCGGAGCTGGAGGGGTTTTCTTTATCCGATTCATCCGCGTGAAGACGTCCGATGAGCAGTCACTGTCACTTTTTCCTGACGCTGACTTCATGACTTGTCCGCTGCTAGCGCTCGCGCTGGCCTTGATTACGCAGGAGTCTCCGTGTGCAGCGTTGCTAAACCATTTGCCGGTGAAGTCGAAGGACGTTCCTGTTGACCTAGCTGCCTCGATACCATTACTGGAACTTCTTGACGACAATAGTGCCCTGAATTCTTCTCAGACGTCGCCAGGTAGCACCACTGTTCACGCGACACCAACAGTTGGAATCCACGCTCTTGTCAACCGCGTGCTCGATCGCGTTGCTGGTCCTGCTGGAGTCGAAGTGTCGCTGACGTCACATTCGTTTCGCCGTGGAGGCGCGCAACACGCGAACGCAAACTCAGAGCTGGCAGCTCAAAGAGATTCTTTGATGCGCGGAGCTTGGAACTTAAATTAGGACTAAAAAACACAGCGTGTGCGTACGTCTTCAACACCCCTAAAGAAGATCATCAAGTTGCTAAGGTGCTGAGTGGGATGACGCCAAAGCAAGCCTCTTCTCTCCCGTCCCTGGAATCCTTCGACGCTGCAACACTAGAAAAGGTTAGAGAGGTTAGCCGGAAGCTTTTCAACTCGAGCCATGATCTGGGTAACAAGACCTTTAACGTCTGCGCTGTTGTGAGAGATGTGCTAACAGCAACCCTCCTCCTCCACTACCCGTCGTTAGTGAAGATCAACGCGAAGACACCTGCAATGAAGACAATTCACCTATGTGCGGAAGCCTCTGGAGTGACGACGACCAACCTGCTTGCATGGTCACAACGGCTCACAGCGTCAAATGAACACGCCAACACCACCGCCGAAGCCATGACTGAAGAAAATGTAAAGGCCAACGCTGCGTTGAATTATCAAACTGCCTTGATTGAAAGGTTAATTGAGGTCAGCCGTAGCCTTGAAGCTCGAGTTAACTCGCTAGAAGCTGCAATGAACAACACCGAAGGGGAAACTTTAGCACGAGATAATCAAGCCAAGCGAGTAAGAGACGAAGATGAAATCGTACCAGTAAAGCGTCGCCGTCGATCCAAGACAATACCGCTTGTTGACACGTGGTTTGCGTGGTACACGGCTGTTCCGCGTGGATGGCAGAGTACTAATAAGCACAAGAAATCGGATTCCAAGCAGCTCGTGGCCTTCATGAGGCTCTTCATCGAAGACGGGTACGCGCTCGACGAGTTATCATCCAGCTACAAAGATACAGTACGTCAGCTCGGAGAGTTAGCGTCAAACAAAGTCACAGTGTTCCTAGGCGAGCAGGGCGTACCGTCAAAGGGATCCAACGCTGTGCTTAAGATTCTTCGGCAGATGCACCGCGAAGGCAAGCTGAATAGTCTCATCAGTGCCTACCATCAGCGTTTTACCATCGGCAGAGTTGTAGACCCTACACCAACACAGCACCAAAGCATGCTCAAGCTGCTCCCGTAACACAATCCAATCTCTCTGTGTCCTTGTAGCTGGTTCTTATATCATGTCAATCATGTAGAGACCTGCAAGGCATTCGAGCATAAATTTTTTACCAATGGGTGGATTTGAATCGTCAAGTCGTTCGTCACGTTGCAGGCGACGATTCAGCATATCTCGCTTGAGAAACACGCTGTTTACTCCAGGATGGTTATCAAAATGATCTTCCAGTGTTCGCCACAGTAGGATAGGATCAGCACGTTGAATAACACTTGTAAATCGCATCTGTAGCTCTTGACTAAGTCCCATCGTAAGTTCACGTTGAGCAACACGCAGTCGTTGCTTGAAACAGCCGCGCTGTCCTTCGTTACGTTGGTCTGCCATCGTTTCGCGCTCCATGATGGGGTCCAAGAGGTGTGCGACGTCGAGAATGGAGCAAATCTCGACGCGCCACGTCTGGTAGTTGGTATCGGTAAGTCTTGCGTTCAACTGCACGTGTCCGCTCTGGTTCATGCACCGCGTGCATCTGTGGTCTCCAACCATGGGTTCGTCCGTAGCGGAGTCGGTCCCGGCCTCGGTCTGGACTGGCTGCGCTGCAGCCTCGGACGTTCTTGGGTTTCTTGGCGGCTCGCTCTGACGCGTGCTGGCGTCGGCGGTAAGTTCCTCTGTGCTTGGGTTTCCTCGGCGGGGCCCGTACGGCGTCGGCACTCGCTGCGGTTGTGCTCGAGCCGCTGAGAATTCTTGAATGAGCTGCCTTTGTGGGCGTCGGGTAGATGCTCC